ATTTGAATTGAAATATTATTTAATATGTTAATTTACATAACTGAATGATTTTGTAGCATTGGTAAGAAAACTTGTTTATAAATAGCGCAATAGTAAATAAATTCTTAAAAAGACCCTAAAAATATTTCCAATTGCTAAATAAGAAATATAATCATCATGGAACAACTAAATTTTGTGTGGTTGTTCGCTTATTATAGCAACCCTTAACCATATTAAGTCTTAATCATTCGTTTTTGTCAACTTGCCGATAAACTTTAGTATATTGAATATTCTAGGAAACTAGCTGGCTTCTTATTTCTTACATACAATGTTTTAAAGAACATGCGTGTGATCGAGTTTTAAGGTTTTCTTTCTTACTTTGGAAGATTAGATGATTCGGTTGAGAAGTTAAAACATACCAAGTTTATGAAAATATTGTTTTGGATTGGCAAGAAAGTGTATATATATATACACTTTTCTTTCATCAGAGTCTCAGCTTTAGGGTTGTCTAGTGGCAAAGCTGATCAGATTCTTTCATCATTTTAGGGTTTATTGGCAAAGCCTATCGAACATCTTTTGTTCTCTTTCGTCTAATATTCGAACATCAAAAGTATGTTATTTTCAATTCAAAGGTTATTAATGCATTCTTGGAAGCTTCAAACTCATAAATTAAGGAGATATAGATAGAATAGTGAAACAACTAAACAAGAACAGTGATTTGAGTCCACCAAATGAGTGGTAAAGTGAACAAGAGTTGAAATGAACAACAAAATTACACTCTATTAAGATTTCGACAAAATGATGCTAAACTTATACCAATGGTTATTTATCCATGGAGTATCCCTATTATCCAAAGCACAAAAATTAATAATCGAATGGAGGCTTATTAGTGCTTGCACTTGCATAGTAATTTGTTATGAATGAACTTAATAATTAATTTACTATCCCAATTAAAATCACTAATGATTGTTCAAATTTGTTCCTTGCAAGACAATGTTGGAATTTGGTAAGATAAGAGAGAAAGAACAATAAGTAGTGGAATGAATGCTCAATCTTATTGAAAAATGATTAACCGAGATGACTGATAGATTAATATTACAGATTAAAATAAAAATAGCTACTGGATAAACTTATTTAAAAGATAAACTAAACGTACAAATAACTCCGCTAATATAAGACTAAGTCAACTACAATCCATTCTATTAAAAATTATTCCCACAGTCCTACGCTTTTTCTATGAATCACATCTCAACTTCAATGGACAACTCATTAATATTGTAACATTTGAATCTTTATCTCCGTCGTGTAATTTTATTTATAATAGTTTTGAATTAGTTCTTCTATCTCATTTAATTCAACATTAGGTTTTAAACTAAAAAACAACTAGAAAATCCTTCTAAACATATGTTCTTGAAAAATTTACTCATCTCACACTAAATCTATCACTCAAAAGAAAAAATCTTTGTAATTCGAACACTTCCTCTCTAACTTTATAATTCTCACCAAAGTCCCAGTATCATCATTATTAATTCTAAATTAAGAGTTGAGTGAACATACCCGAAAACAGTTGGTAACCAACTACTTCACAAATTAACTACTTCACAAATTTAAAAAATAAAGAAAAAAAAAAGAAAAAAAAGAAGAAAATCAAGATCAAATCAAAATCAAAATCCCAAAAAACAGCAATCTGACTTATTAAATGTTTTCTCAAATTGTAATTACTTTCCACACATTTTATTTTGGTGTAAACTTAATTTTGAAATTTAACTAATGCATATTAAGTAGTATATAATTATCTTGTTGAATTTTATGGTACCGAGCCTACTCGACTAAAAGAAAATTAACAAATACATAAACATTGTGCGTTTGTTATAGGATTTGGATTTTCAATAGTTGTTAATGTCATATAAATAAATATTGAAGTAATAATTTTGAATGTAAAATTAATTTTTATTATAATATAAAAATAAGGTTTTTAAAAAAACTCAAATTTCTTCAAACAAACACACTAGTATGACTTTTCTTTTTAAACATTATTTGTTATAATAATTAATAAGCCAAACTCAATCTTAATAGGCAAGGATTCATATTTTACAAACGTGTTCTTTAATTTATATTACAAATAAGAAACAAAAAATGTAGGGACAAATTAAAATATTCGATATATTATTTTAATATAGTGTTGACAAGAAAAATCACTAGCATATTGTTTTTGATATGTCATTTTAATTTTGATTTATATTTGAGTTATATATATATATTTTATAACGATATTTATATTATTTTTTCAAAAGACAAAATATATATTGTTACTTTAATTTTAGAAGTTAAAAAAAAAGTAAATTTTAATTTGTATGTCTAAGTGTAACCAGAATTTGCAATGGACTAGTTTGTGTAAGATTAGTTTACTGTGTTTTATTATTGTTTGGGCCCATAATTTCATCAGATTTATTTTTTAAAGCTCAATCTAATACGGAGGGACTTAACTTACCAAATACATAAAAAAAAAATATTTAAAAAAAATTACAAATAGATTTGCAATACTTTTGTAAACTTAAAATAAATTCATCAAGAACTAAATAATTAATAATAATATTTTTAAACGATAGATGATCTTTTACTTTTTACCACAAGAAAAAAAATCGAAGTCAAGCAATGTAATACAAGAATTGTGCTAATACGAAGACATTTAATCAGATAGAGGCAAGAATTTTGTTTTTAAAAAATACCACGGTATGTTTCCTACAATCATGTATTTTTATACTACCTCCGTCCCATAAGAGGAGTACTGTGAATTTTTTGCCTGTACATATTTGATATTAATTATTATATCAATACGTAGTGCAAATCAAGAAAAAATGACAAAAATACCTCTATTTTAAAATACAATGACATTTATAGATTAAATTATACAAATATAAAAATATTTTTAACCTTAATAGAACGACGCAAAAGTCAAATACTGCCCTTCTTATGAAACTGCGGTAGTATAAAATTATTAAATTTCAATGCAACTAGCTATTGTAGAGCAATACATGCGTGCAAAATCATGTTCAGTAAATGAGATTGTTTCGATCACTAAAAAATAATAAAAAGAATTGGGTTTGGAGGGCCCTAGCGTTGACACATGAGATGGATATATTGAAACCATAGAAGATGTTAGATTCTCTAAATTTTGAGTTCCAGTTTTGGATATGTCATTTGAGATTGTCTTCTTAAATAATAATGTCTTTACATCTTCCATAAGATTGTTTATCTTTTATTGCTGAAAACTTAAAAAAAGAAAAAGAAATGATGGTGAACTTGATTTGATAAATAATGGTTTTGATTTTTGAGTTTTGATTTTTAATTTTCCAGCACTATTTCATAAAGAAGAATTTCAAAAATATGCATATATTTATGTTCCACTACATCAAGGATTGTTGACAGTGAAAAAGAACTACATACCCGGTTAATTAGGCATTCCTTTGTCTTTAGTCCTGTTATTGTCTCAACGAATTTTGTTTCTAATGTTTCATTGACTCTATTTTTGGAGGTTCTTGTCGTTGGTTCTAACTTTGTGGAAATATTCCTATTTTCTTATTAAAAAAAAAAAACATACTTCTCCGTTACGTAAATACTGAAGTCTACTGCCCCAAATTTGAATATATCTTTTACGTTCAAGATATGTTTACTACTTGTATTTTTTGTATGAAAATTATCACAATATCTTATTATGACATATTTTATTGATATATTTTGCTTGATCTGATCCAATTATCCGTGAATAAGTTTTTACTAATTTTGAGTCCAATTTAAGCGAAATTCAGGCCTAATTTCCGTTGAATCATAAAGCGAAAATGGTGAACAGACTCAACGATGAATCCCAGTTCAGCAAAAATCCTTTCCCGATCTATTTTCTGCCCAAGTCCCAGCTACTAGCGAATTTATACTGTCTTAGCGACCCACTTTCCGGCAAAATTAGAATCCATCTCATTCGTGACAATCAAACCATTCATCCAAAGTTCCGTTTTCAAAGCCTATATAGTGGTCAGATATCCTTGTTGTAAATACATTTTCAATACGTTTTGATACGCTCTAAACCCAACCACCCCCCCCCCCCCCCGGTTACTGTCGGAACCTCTTTTCGGTAGCTTTATTTCTTCGTTTTGTAATGTAGACTTTACTACTTTATTTAGAATAAATAATATCATTACATCTCCATTTTGATTTATTCATACACACACCCATGTTCATATTTGAGTTATTTAAGTGGATTCTTGATGAAATTGTGAAAAGGCAGGAGAATTATTAATTATATAAACTTATGATCGCGCCGCATTATTAATAGATATTAGGAACTACGTAGCATCTCAGTACATGTGAGCTTTGTCAACCAACTTAATATGTGATATGAATTTAATGTTTATTAAAGCTAGATATCAAAGGGATAAAGCCATTAGTAAAACTATTTTAAGTAATTTATTAATTAAACATGAATCTCAGAAATTTCTAGTGATAGTGACTTTTGTATACATAATGATTTTAACTGGAAATTTTGAAGTTTTGTTGTAACTCCTTAAGGTCAAACATCAGTTGAGTCAAGAATCCAATTTAAATTAACAAATGTGATCACAGTCATTTCATGAATCCGCCTTCACTCTTATATGTATAATATTTTTCTATTGTGCCATCATCATCTCGTTTATTTTATTTAAGGTAACCTAGCTATTACGGAACGCAATATAACAAACACCCGGGCCCCAAGTCACGCAGGCCAAAGTCATTATAATGAGCTTTTGCTCACATTTACGCCACCCTGAATTAGGCTTGTGTGTGTGGATTAAGATTTTATGTGAAAATTAGGGATTTTATGTTTTTTTTTGGGTGCAGGCCACACGGAGCAAGAAAGGTACATTTTCAGCCAAAAGCGGGTTAAGTATCCGAATAGTAGCCGGTCGAACCGGGCGACCGTTTCCGGTTACTAGAAGGCAACAGAGGTGGACCGGAGGATCTACTACGAGGGGCGAGTGCTGGTGGCGATGAAGAAGACGCTGGTCTTCTACCGGGGGAAGGCGCCGGCGGGGGAGAGGACTGACTGGATTATGCACGGGTACAGCCTCGTTATCCCAGCCCACATTGCTGCACAGGTATGGATCGATCATGGATCTAATTGATTACTTCATATCATGGATGGGTTGATTTTCTGCATTTTATCTATGGATTGATGATTTTCTGCTTAATTGCATGGCAGGCCAGGAATTGGGTGCCATGCAGTATTTTCCTGAAGCGCAATGGGAACCGACAGAGTGAGGCCCCAGGGGGGGTCATGATGGACGGAGGCGTGGATGCGGCCCCGCCACCGCCGGCAACGGAAGTGGCCGTGGAGCCACCGCCATCGGCCCGGGTCCCATCGCCGGTATTGAACGAGTTCCTGGGGCCGAGGAGGCTCGATCTGAATGTGGCGGCGGCGGCGGAGTCCGTGTCGGAGTGGAGCGACATGACCGAGGAGGCTGAGACGGAGGATTGTGCCGACAGTGGCACCTGCAAGAGCGATGAGGAAGACGGGTAGTGGGATGGAGGAGAAGGAGGTCGGAGAAGATGGATCTGTCGGAGGCAGATGTAATAATAATAACAATAATATAATAATAATAATAATATTAATATCTTCTGGAACCAAACAAAAAACACTTTGACATGCACGATTTTATATATTCAAGTACCGGGAATTTTGGTTGAAAAATAAGGTGTAATGGACTATTGTGAACGATCGGATATAAAGAAAAATTTGTAGTTGTAGACCCTCAATCATTTATCATAATTATTTATAGTCTTTACCTGGTGAGTTTCAAGGTTGAACACAGGTATTTTAAGTCATGAAGTCAAATCGAGCGCTAATCTGGTGAAAGCGGCAAAAAAAGGGTAAGGAGACCCGCTCGAAAGCAAGTCTGAATTTAAAATTAGAAATAACTAAAAAAACTAAAGAAAACAGTAAGGGTGAGCGAAGGTGAGCAAAGCGATGATGAGCGGAGGTGGTGCCAGCGGTGGGTGAGCGACAGGGAATATGAGCGAAGAGGCACTATATATTTATATAGGTTGAGTGGAGGAGGGTGATAAAGCGGCGCTGTGTCTGATTTGTGCATTCCTTAATGGCTAGATTATCCCTTATGAAATTAGCGAGTAATGCTGGTGTTTAGTCGAAACGTATATGTATAATACGAAGGTGGAAAGAGGGAGTAAAGTAATCATATAAACAAAATCATAAAGAACTTAGATCGCTGATACTTGACCTTAAGGGAGTTACAACAAGACTTCAATGATGCCCAGAATTAGAATATTATAAGAAAGAAACCCTACAGTCACTAGAGATTTCTGTGACCCAATAGACTACCGCATATGCCCATTAATTATCGAAATTTTTGTCTCATTAGTGGCTTAACCCTTCTGTTACATTTTTAATCAAAATCGAATTTAGATTAGTAAGCAAGTTGACAAGGCTCCCGCGTACTTAACCACATTGAACTACACTCGATTTGTTTGTGACGCAAAACAAGGCTTGGATAATTGACTCTTCTTCTTTCTAAGTGATTTGGAGTTCTTTACAACTAAGAGTTATATAAATGTGAGAATAGGGAAGGAGTGACGATGAAGAACAAGTGATATTTCATTACTCACTATCAAAACAGTAAAGTTCTATTTCTATGGAAGTTGTAAATCAAAGCGGTAAACTAGGACTAAGGAAGTAGTAAAGTAGCGGCCAAAGAAGGAGAAAAAAATCTCAACTCCCCTGGCCATTCCTGCTGAGTACCCCCTTACAGGGTTGGAGCTCTCGGAAGGCAGGAAGGCAGCTATGAATTTGCGCAAAGGAAAGTGCTAGTATACTCCTCTCGAAGTATATTTACCAATAAACATCTCGCTCTATTTATAACTAATTGAAGTAGCAGTTGCGAGCAGTTAAAATATGGTTCCAACTGCTAAACAGTTAGGCAGTTGATGAAAGTTATTTCGTAGAGGCAGTTGCTGGCCATAATTCCTAGGCTGCTCGCATCGTTTGCTTTGATTTATAGGGGCGCAGATATTCCTCACTTGCCCAGATGGCTGGAGGGCATCAGCGCAACTGAGCGGAATTTCTCTGCCGGTTGGTAGTGGAATGGTTGTTCCGTTGCGGGTTGGACACTTAGGCACTTGTGGTTGATTCTGCAATGAATTCGAATAAATTTGTTCTGTATTGTGTTGTCAATACATAAATTATTGATAAACAATACATGAAGTCAAAATAAACAATATAATGCATATATTAACATAGTACAAATATAACATATTAATTGACAATATATAATAATGATTCATACAATATATATTATCAGTTGAACTCGATATTAGATATGTTCATACAATACACATTATAAATTTTGAACTCAACACATAATTTCAGTTAATATAACATATGTTTTGTTAACTGAAACAATATATTATTTTTTCTAAATTTTATTTGCTTGAATTTGTTAGTCCAGTCAACATACGAATGGTATCCTTAAGCGTTAGGTAAGTGATCTTCAATTATATACGACAACAAACAAAGAGATCTTTATTAACTAAAATTTGACGTCATTTGTTTTTTTTGTTGCGATCATTTTATAATAATTGAAGAAGGCCTTTAGTAATTAAACGGATCTGCAATCATGGAAGTTGTACGAATATGTTCAATAACTAATTCATAATATGAAGTCGAACTATTAAGCAAATGACGATTATTATAATCAAATAACATACTATTTCCAACCAATTTTGAATTCTGGAAGAGATTAAAAAACTTTATTCCGAATGAACGATAATAACTGAATTTGTTAAAAACAAAAATTGAAATTAAATTTTGACTAAAGATGGTACCAAAAAAATGTCTCATTCAAATCCAAATAATTACCAGTACTCAATAATAATCTAAAATTGTCAATAACTTCAACTTTAACCTTCATGTCGTCACCCATATAGATGTATCTTTCACTATTAATTGATTTTTGGCAATATAAATAATCTTGCATAAACACAGTGATATGAGTTGTTACACCAAAACCACCCCCAGGTGTGTCTATGAACTGAAATTAAAACTAATTTCAAGAGCAAGACCAATAGGACAAAATGTCCTCCGAAAGGTCTAACTTAATGCCCTCAATTTAGTAGCAATATTAGATATGTTCAGGATGTACTCCCTTATGTTATGTTTGTCATTATACTTTATGGTAATGGGACTCTTAAGAAGATTACTCATTTCCGCCTTATCGATTTTGGTAAAGCGTTTCTTAATTTCGACAAGAAATCTCTTGGCAGTAGTGATATCATCAGATATCGTACTCTAAAAAATTTATCAAGTAATTTTTTTATTATCATCAGACTTAGATGATTAGACATATCCCACTTCTCAAACAACTTTTTTATTCTTAATGCCAAGTCAAGATCCATGCAGCCCAAATGAATTAATATTAATTTTGTTCAGTGACTAAAGTTATTCCCAAACATTTTTCGGAGTAAATATACATACACATAAATATTCATGAAGCATAATGAAACTCAATAATACTGCATTCTCATCCCAAGACACTAAGTGCATGTGACACCCCGGCCGCAAGTTCCGCAAAGCCGGGGGTGTCGGGATTGTAGATTGGCCCCACAGGTCAACATGAGTCCTTTCAGGACACTTCTGTCCTCACTTAAGTGCACCCTGGAAGACTTTCCAGGGGGTCTGGAGTTCTTTCAGTAGGGCTCCCGAAAAGAAATATGCACATTGTTGACATGAGTCTTCTATTCAATCCATTTAACCTCTTATTCAACCTCGGGGGTATTTCATCATCCCCGACTCATATCACTATTCAACTTCGGGTGTATTACAGTGCAACATCAATGATCAATTTTTGGATCAATAACATTGATTGCTAACAGTCATCTTGTTGTAATAATCATGTACGGACAATAAATAATGTCAAATAGAAAACCACTCTTTGGACTGATTCACTCTTCACATAAGTTAAATCCACATAATCATCACATACATATTATTGCATATGTATATTTCATTCTATCAATTATCAACAGTCTTTGGGCTGAAAAATAACCACATGAATTAAAATACATATAAACATTTACGTTATCAAGAAAGAATCTCATATAAGAGAGGTTACTTTAGCAACTTCAAATACTTGAATTTCACTGTCAAAATGCACCAAGCATTATTAAATGAATTTATAATTTTCTTAAACTAGATTAGAATCAGAATTGCGTTCAATGCATATCATTATGATTCCATAAAAATAAAGTACGTGTATAAGCAATTGGATCGAAATGTCTATAAGCAACTAAATGTTTCATATGTGAATTTATAAAATAAATTAGCAATCATATCATTAGTTATCGAGCAACATCAGCAATTGTCTTTAGACACTTACTGGCTCATGAGTGATAAACTTATTTTGATAATTGAATTTTGAAAATAAAGTAGAGTCTCAAACAACACTCTATCTTTGGACATATCTATTATTCACACACAAATAACCAAATTATCATCACTATATTCAATGTCATTAAACATGCACGTAACTACTTAATCTCCGACTTGCCTTTGGGTCAATCAACAGCCTTATAAGACACACAATCTTTTAGTATATAAAATAAACTAATTTTCACAGCAGATATTGTTTTGGCAACATAACTATTTCAACCAATATATAAAATATATCATATTAATTTATTACTAATTAAATTCATCTTAAAGAAACACTCAGATGTTGATGAAAGCTATAACAACTACAATTACTTTCTAGGCCTATTTAATAAATCAAGTACTCAAGAAAGTACTAAATGCAGTGAAATTAAATACAAAATGTGACACCCAAAGAGACTATAAATTTGATACAATAAATACTCATAGTTAATTTGAACAAATGCATAAAATTTAAAACGCACGTCGTTGTAATTTAAAACGCACGTTGTTGTATCCCAAATTTAATTGGATTGTCAAACGAATCATAATGAATATTTGATTATTCACAAAATCAGCCATAAATAAATAAATATGGAATGGCAAGTTACCAATTAATTGGGTATGATTCAATTTGACTCCATAAACCATTCAATAAAAATAAATGAATAACTTACCTTTTTGAGTTTAAAATCTAAATTGAACGATATCCATTGACTCTTGAGTCTCTATTGAGGTTCTACTTACATGCTCCCACGATTGTATCGAAAAATATTTAAAATAAATATTAGTAAATATATGTCGGAAACAAAAATATAAATATCAAATAACTACCTTCTTGTGTATGAAATTCATAGGTTATAGATACACGCTCCCACGAATGCATCGAAATAGATTTAAAATAAAATATTGTATATATATGTAGGAAATAGAAACATAAAGATTGAATAACTTAGCTTGTTGTGCTCAAAATCTAAATCGAACGATCTCCATTGACTCTCAAGTCTGAATAGAGGTTTTACATACAACCTACCACTAATGCATCGAAAGAGATTTAAAATAAATATTAGTATATATACGTCGGAAACAGAAATATAGAT